CTAACTTATCACCCAGGAGGGTCGGCCTGATGGTGTTGAAAGCACTGGAAAAGTCGAAAGACATGACCCTCACAGTGCTCGCCGGCTGGTCCAGATGGGTGTAGACACGATTGATCAGGTAGATGATGGCGTCCTCCGAGACGAGGCTGATATGCAAATTGAAGGGGATCCAGATGTGGTCTTACTATGGGTCGCAGCTGGTCCAGGATGAGCCTTTCCAGGGTCTTCATGATGTGGGAGGTGAGTGCCACGGGCCTGTAATCCTGGGGGCCACTGGGACGTGGCGTCTTTGGTACAGGGACGAGGCATGATGTCTTCCACATCACTGGTACCCTCTGCAGACTCAGACTCAGCATAAACAGTTTATGAAAGACTCCTCACAGCTGGGGGGCACAGGTCTTGAGGACAAGGGGACTCACTCCGTCTGGTCCAGCAGACTTGCCTGAGTGAAGTCTCCTCATTTGCATCTCAACCTGGCATTGAGTGAAGGTGATGGGTGGGGGAGGGGTGTCAGGAATCTCACAGGAGGCAACATGTGAAGAGAGAGGCTGGCACAGTGGTGTGGCTCTGGATTCCAGGCTGACTGCAGGTGAGGTTGTGGGGGTGGGAGCAGACACTGTGGTGTCGAATCTATTGAAAAACAGATTCAACTCGTTGGCTCTATTCTCACCTCCCTCAGCTCCCCTGCCGTTGGTTGGCCTGAATCCAGTGATGGTCTTCATGCCCCTCCACACCTCTCTCATGCTGTTCTGCTGGAGTTTCCACTCCAGCTTCCTCCTGTAATTGTCCTTAGCCTCTCTGATCTTGTCCTTTAGTAACACCTGGACCTTCCTCACCTCCTCTTTATTGCCCCCTCTGAAAGCCCTCTTCTTGTCATTGAGGAGGGCTTTGATGTCCTTAGTCATGCACGGCTTGTTATTTGGGTAACAATGAACAGTCTGAGCTGGAACAATGGAGTCGGTGCAGAAAGTTATGTAGTCTGTGATACACTCAGTAAGCCCATTGATGTTATATTATATGTATATATATGTTATATGTTATATAATAATAATAATAATAATCTATCCACATATGAAGTGTGAATTTCGGCTCACTTCTTAATATATTACCTACAGGAAAAACATCTCAGCTCTTGCTCCAGCACTGATCCGCTGGGCACATTGTGTCTCTCTCTGTGGTCTTTAAAGCTCATGACCTCAGTGGTCACACTTTTTTTTAATATGATTTGCAAAATTTCCACTGTCAGGAAATCAGGACACATGTTTAGACAGCAGTTTAAAGATGAGTTTGAAACGTCCAGGCAGCCCATTACAGTAAGACCTCAGCACAAACACCTTCATAAAACCTCAAAACAAGGTACAGTTCTCATTTGTTTGCGTTTTTGTTTAATAATGATTATTTTTATGTACATTTTCCGTTGTTTGCCGACCAAAGATGCCAAGTCTCAGCATCTTTTGCACATTTGTTTGATTATATAAAGACTTCACATCACATTTTTGTTTTTTATAATCCAAGTTGCTTGCTTACAGCCTTTTTATGCTCTTGAGACTATGCTGGGAGACACAGCAAACCTTCTGCAGGGAGGGGTTGGACTACCTGAGCAACCTCTGTAGGGTCCATGTATCTCCTCACACTACCAGTAGTGACACCGACACTAACACTCAGCTAGTTATCTGAAGTCAATAGAACGAGAAGTTTAACTTTAAGCTTATACTCTGATTTAAAAGTTTTCCTTTATTGTATTTATTTATTTGAACTATAGTAAATAATTGTTGTACTGTATATTTCAGGTCTTTTAGCCACTGTTCAATAATGCTGCTTGGACTTCATCTTCGATACAAGCCTCCCTCCAACAGCTCTGCCCTGGCTGGAGTTGAAAGGTCTAACTTATCCTGTGATGGCACTGAACCGGCCTTTTATGCTTGGGATGTTGTCTCAGCACTGTGCTTTGTTTTTGGTTTTCCTTCCACTGTTGCCATCCTCTGGGAGATGTTTAAAATACACAGGAGAAAAAATCCATTCTCACCAAATGAGTTGTTCATACTTAACCTCTCGATCATGGATGTTATCTTCTTTGTCTTCCTTCCACCTGGAATACTAAATAACTTCATTTGGCTGGGGTGGGACTTCATGTCAGTTTGGTGCGGTGTTTATGCCTTGAATATGTGTGGGAGACCGCTCCTGATGGCTTGTACCTGTCTCGACTGTTACCTGGCTGTGGTTCATCCAGTTGCTTATCACAAGAGGAAAGGTCTGGCTCCCAGGGTTGTGATGGCTGGCATTGTTTGGACTCTCACACTCGCCTCTGGGATTGCATACTCGCTTTCTTCAAATTTATTTAACAGCATGCTTCCTGTTGTGACATATCTAATTGCTGTTATCATAATTGTTATCTGTGATGGTTTTATTTTCTATACATTAATAAAGTCTGACTTTGGCAGAAACAGCATCAATCCCCAGAAAAAAAGGGCCATTCAAACTATCATCTTCAGCCTGACCATGGTCATCATCTCTTACCTCCCTCCAGTAGTTCTTATTTCAGTTGAGGGGTACCTGATCACCAAGCTGTCGATTCGTCAATGTATCTTAGACTATCTAGTTACCCTTTCATCCTCTTGGGGATCTGCTGTCATGCCTCTGCTTTACCTGTATAATATTGGGAAATTCGATTTTTTAAGGCTTGGACGGTGCAAGTTCTAATTGAAGCCACTTTTAATCGTTTTTGCACATTTCTCTTGTCAAATCAGTCCTGTAGAAGAAAACAAAAATTTTTCAAACAGTCAAAACTAAAAACAGCTCAGTTTACAGATAAGCCCTATTCAGACTGTTTTTTTTTGTCATGTGCACATTTAGATCATAGAAAGTGCCCCAGCCACCTCTATTGGGTGGGTTTCTGTTATTCTGTGAGTCTATATGTACTTTTTTCTCTTCTATGTGGTTAAAAAATGAAATAAAACAACAATGGAAACCAAATGAAGAAAGCTTTCATCTTCTTATACAACCCATTTTTGGAAAAGTTGATGTACTGTGTAAAATGTAAATAAGAACGATTTGCAAATCTTATGAAGCCACACTTAATTCACATTAGAACACAGAAACCAGATCAACTGTTTAAACTGAGAAAATGAAGTATTTTTAGGACAGGAGGCCATTTTTAGCATCAACTCATGTAACACAGGGCACATGAAAGATTTGCTTTTAAACCTTTTGATTAATTGAAAGCACTAAAAGCAAGACAGACACTCTTCGTGTGAGCACAGAAAAGTTTTCCACTTTGTGTCAATCCATTTTAAACGAGCTTTGTCTCAGAGACGACAGCTGGGTTTCTGGATCGTGTTCACATGTGGCTTTTGCTTTGCATGACAGAGCTTTAACCTCCACTTGCTGATAACACAGTGAACCGTATTCACAGCCAGTGATTTCTGGAAGTGTTGCTGAGCCCATGCTGTGATTTCAATGACAGAATCAAGCCTGTTTTTAATGCAGCTGCCAGGGTCAAAGATCTAATATAGAGTTTTGGCTTTGTCCTTTGCGCACAGAGATTTCTCCAGATTCTCAGATTCTTTTGATGATATTACCTCATGTGACTAATAAGAAATTAAAGTTTCACACTTTTACATCCAGTGACATTATTCCAAATTTGTTCCACAATGTGTAGAGATAGTTTTAAGTAGACTAGCAAACCACTACTCATCTTTGCTTTAAGAAGCTCTGCCTCGCTGAGATGCTCTTTTTTAAACCCAGTCATGTTACCAACCTGTTACCAGTTAACCAAATAATTTCAAAAATGTTTCTCCAGCTTTTTTAAAAAGATATTCTAACAATGTATTTTCTCAGTTAAAGATCTGAAATGTTTCATATGTTCCATTGTGGATACAATTGAGTTTAATGAGATTTGTAAATGATCGCATTCTGATCTTAAACAACATTTTACATAGTGACATTTTGGGAACCTGAACTTTTAATTGAATGTTGTTTCCATTAATACACTGCACATATACTCTATTCATTGTTAATTAGAATAATAATAATAATAATAATAATAATAATAACCCAAGACTTTAGAACAAAGTCGTAGGTGGTAAAACGGCAGAGAATCTGGTGACATAAAACCTTTATTAGCTTTTAGATACAGATACTATCAGAGAAAAACAAACTCTAGAATCTCAGACTGAGATTTTAATCTGATAAATTGAATGAAAAAGTCCAATAAAGAGGTATGAAAAAAGGTCCTGCTCCCATTTACAAGCCCATAGACTGGAAAACTTTGGGAAATCAAGAACTTATTTTCCATGATTGATTTACATGGGCTTCATCGGGTGAATGATCACGTTACAAATGTAAATGTTGAAGGCAGGCAGGTCATCTTTCATGACACTCATCTTCACACAGGCATGCAGGTATAAGCAAACATCGTTTTCATAACTCAGTGCAGAAGTCGTAGGAAACAATAACATGTTAAGTAATGTGAAAATTGTATATATTTGCATTATTCAAATATACGAGCGAAACCAAAGGTGCATTTCTCCAGTTCACAACAAAGTACATCCATATGTTTATATATAATCATACATAGATATTTATTTTAAAAAATGGAATATAGTTGTAACAATGTGAAAAGTAATAATTTAAAATTAACAAGAGGCATCAAAAGCTATATGTGATATATGTGTTTTACATCTGTGAGCAGTGGAGAGGAGTAACTTTTCTCGTTCTTTTGAAACAGTCTGGATGATACATGCATTGAGTGCACTAAGATGGAACAACTCAAGTTATTTTTAATGTCTGTGCAATCAACTGCAAATGCATAAAATTATATTTCATATTATATATTATCTGCTGAATTACTATTCTGCTTCATTCTTCTGCCATTTTTGCAGCAACTTCTATTTTTAATCCATTATTTTCTGCTTTAATAATTTTAAAATGATTAAAAATAAAATCTGTTCTGCTTTTATCATGCCAGACCTGTACTACACCTTTATATATGCAAATCCTTCCTAGCAGCAAATATTATTCAACCTCCCCAGATTGCCCAAATACAGCAAAGGCATGATTGCACTTCCTGCTGTCGGGATGATCAAGACAGGTATTGTTAAGACGCACTCGTATTCGTTGTCATCTCTGACAATGAGATGCCCAAAGACGTACAGCAGCACTGGGGGGAAATATGAGGTGATGGTCATGACCATGCTGTTGGTGATGATCTGGAGAGCCTTCTTCTTCCTGGGGTGGAGGTGTCCCCCGCTGCGATAGGACTTCTTCAGGGTCCAGAGGATGGAAGCATCACAGATTACAATTATGGGGAGCGCAATGAGGTACACAAACGTGGCCCATGCACTGTGGTTTAGCTCTTGATCAACTATGGACATGGACCCTTGAACCATCGTAGCAGTCCACGCAGCAGCAGCCATAAGGACCCGGGGAGTCAGACTCTTCTTTGTGCTGTAGGCGATGGGATGGAACACAGCCATGTAGCAGTCCAGACAGATGCATGCTGTTAGAAGAGGTCGTCCAGCCAGGTTTAGAGCATAGAGAAAACTGATGAAGCTCTGGAAAGACATGATGTGCCAGAGGAGGAAGTTAGTCAGGCCAAGTGGGACAAAAAATAGGAAGACCAGGTCCATGACTGTGAGGTTGATCATGAAAACATCATTAGGGGTGATCGAGGTTCCAGCTCTGTGTCTCTGAAACAGCTCCCAGAGAACAGCAGCACATGCAGGAAATCCAACCAGAGAGAAGAGAGCGCTGAAAAACACCCAGACTATAATACCTGGTGTTACGTCTACACAGTGTCCCCACTTGCTCTCCAAAGGCTCGCTGGAGTTGAAGGTTAGATTCTGAGAGAGCATTTTGAAGCAGTAAGAGGTTCTCACTGATCGTCTGCGCCTGAAATGAAACAGAAATGAATGAGATTCTCCCGAGGAAACAAAAATCTGAAGACGCTTGCTTTTCCAGTTTCAAAGTCATCTTACCTTCACGATGCGTTCTTATTATTGGGAATGATTTTGTGTAGATGCACATAATTTGTTTCTCCTATGAAAATGCTTATTTGAATATGCAAGTGACAGCGAGGATCATTTTTCAAGCTTGGCATGGACTGATTTATTATTTTTTTAAGTGACTAATCATCTGATCTTAGATCCTGCAGATTTAACAGTTATTAGAGGAACGAGTTTTCTATTTATTAACCAGCAACAAGAGTAAATGCTCTGGTTACCTTTAAAAAAAAAAAAAAAGCTTTCTTTCACATGGTATAGTTAAAGGTCAGAAGTCAGGGGTGTGACCTACCTAGGAGACTACTTTAAATAACTATTCTTCATTATTCGTCCATGGATACAGTGACTTTTGCCGTTGTGTGCCAGTGTCACAGCTCATGTCGGTCAAACTTAATCAACTTTTCTCGAGTGATCAAAGTTAGAAAAGATGTAGCAGATTAAAACATAATTCTGTGAACGAGTCAAAGCTGATACACAATAAAAGCATTAAAAGCATTTTCACAAAGAACAAATGTACAACATAAGCAGGCAATCTAACAAGAAATAATATATTATTTTTAAAAAGCAGTGAGGTTTTTATATGTTTACATCTCTCTTTAAAAGACTGTACTTTCTCCATGTTTAATGATTCCTGTTGGTAGAAGACCTGCAGAAAGTGGTTGGACCATGAAGCCGTTTAACTTTCTACCTCAATGATACATTTTAGATAGAGCTTCCTGATTATACTTATAAGGTTAAATTATTTTTATGTATTTAACAACGAGAATAAAACTACTGCCATTAAACCCTTTTACCTTTGAGCCAAAACAATGCTTCTAGGGTTTATATATTACTTGACCGTCTTCCCAGTTTCTTTGTGCTGAGAAATGATTAACTTCTTGGATTATGTTCACAGGTAATATAGTACTGTATTAATTTAACACTACAGAGTAGAAGCAAAGTTACAAGAGGGTAAATTATAGACTGAATTATAACAACAACTAAAGGTTGTTGATCTTCAAACTTCTTGAGCAAACAAAACTATGAATGTCAAGTCCAAAAAAATATAGTAAGATCTGGGATTAGGACACACCTGATCCAAACTCTCGGTGTGTGAACAAAGGAAAATTTTAAGCCTAATCTTAAAAGTAGAGAAGGTGTCTGTCTCCTGAATCCAAAATAGGAGCTGGAGAATAAACTAGAGAAAACGGGTGATCCGATCTATTACTATGGAGCAGAAAGATTGGGAACAAAACAGCTGAGAAGGAAGGTTAGGGTTAGGATAAGGAAACACTGATGCTACTCGAGTCCAGAAGACACGAGAAATTGAACATACTATGAAGAAAAGATGGTAGCTGAGAAAACAATGGAAGAAATCTTAAGTGGAGAAGAGCGCAGCCATTGTCCTCCTCTATGCAGATCTTAAGGGTTTCCTAGTCAGAGTCAGAGGACTTGCGACTAGGGAACCCTCAGAACATAATGCAAGAGGAAGGAGAAGGCAAGAAGCTCCATCTACAGTGCCCACTCGGGTTTGCCTTTTCACAAAAGAAAAGAGCAGTGAGGTACCTTCTGACATACCACCGATAACATCTGATGGATGATAGTCCCCCGTGGTGCAGCAAGGTTAAGAGGGCTGTAAGCTTCAGCTCCAACAAAGAATCGATCCCTCTCCAGGTCAAAGGTCAAACCCTACTTAGCACACTGTGATGCACGAGAACCAAAAACTAGCTTACAGTCAGTATCACCAGTGTGCCAAATGAGCTTTCACCAATTTCCGAGATTGCTCTAAGAATCTAGGAAAAGTTAGTATCAAGAAACTTTTAAATAAATCAAATAAAAATGGAAGAATTACATATGTATAGACCAGACAGTCAGGGTAGACTTTAGTGTGTAACAGCCTTGTTTTTTCTTTGCCACAACATATGCAAAGTTTCCTGAAGGCCATAAAGTGTGAACAAAATGCTTCCATTTCCTCAACATAACCAGGAAAAAGGAAAGTCACTAAAGAAACATTTAATATAAATGTTTTTGCATTTTGCCAGGTGATGGTCATTAGCTCATAAGTAACTGCACTATATCTCATGCATAAACATCTTAACTTACCATCCTGTTTTAGTTTTGGTCGTAAGCTCACCAGTAAAAGTCCAAAATGCAGACCTCAGGTCCAGTATGCCACGTTTGCTTTAGACAGCTCAAATTTACATTAATTATTCAGTTTTTAATGCTCTGATTTGTCAAAATTAAACCCTGTCCCCGTGGGACTCAAAAGCAGCTCCACTCCCCACCACCAGGTGGCAGGAACAGCTCGTGTGAATAACATTCAGTATTTCTAGATCTGATAGACAAATTTAATGCATTCAATGTTTCAACAAAAGGGTTTGAATGACATTTTTCACCCTTATTAACTCTCGATCCCCTGACATGTTGGTTCAGATTGCACAGCTCAATGTGGGTCCATAAATAAACTGGATACGGAGGAGACTCGTTTTTCACTCTAAATGTTTTATTGTTTCGCCTTACGCAAACATTTACATATAAAAAAATGACCATTTCTTCTTGAAATAACTTTGCTCTGCTCCTTGCCCACAGCAGAGCATCAATGTATTCAAATTAGCTACCACTGATTTACTGACCAACAGAAAGATAAATCTGCTTAAATGCAAATACAAAAGATATATTTCTCTCCAAATGTATTTTGATACAGATATTTAATTTTACAAAACCTTCAGCACACTCTGGTTAGTTAGCTGTTCCTTCCTTTCTGGTTAACCTGTCAATGAAACGTGCAGGTTCTTGCTTCAGCTGCACTGGACACTTATCAACAGGCTTTGAGTTGATGTTTAACACAACTATAAAAAACAGGCAGAGGCCTAAATTTTCTTTTGTGCCTTTTCTTCCTGTTAAAAGGGAGTTTTTCCTCCCCACTGTCACCAAATACTTGCTCATAGGGGTTTGTCTGATTTTTAGGGTTTTCTCTGTATTGTTGTTGAGTCTTTACCAAAGTTTGAGGCAACTGCTGTTGCCATTTGGTGCTGTAGGTTTAGCTTTTTCCAATCAGAAAAGCAACTATGACTAAAAGCTTTGTGTTTCGACATTCACCTCGTCATCTGAGAGATTCTGCAGTCGGAGTCATCCAGATACAGTTCATTATTTATGAGTGCCATCATTGTGGTTTAACGGCAACCAGATAAATAATACATTCATAAACAAGGAAGGAACATCTGTGAGCGGTGCTATCACATCTTACGGCTTGGTAAAAAACAAACAAACAAAAACATATTCTCCTGCTTTTATAGGATTTTTGTTTTAATATCTAAAATAAACACAAACTCTTTCCAAATCTTCCAGAAAGTCCATTAATTTTCTTCTGGTTATGGAATTCTGGTAGTGGTCGGGCCTGCAGCCTATCCTGACTGTTGTAGCGGGGTACACCCTGGACCTGTCACCAGTCTTATCACAGGCAGTGGATCTGAACGAGTTCAATCCACGGGTTACAATCCCATCTCCACAGCAGCTGGGGTAGACTCCAGCCCTCCTTAAAAATCTGAACTGTATACAAATGTATACATCAGTGTTTAGGTTAACAAAAATACAACAGGACCAACGCTCCTAATAAACCTTAATCAGATCTTTCAGTGGAGATATGAGGTTTCCACATGACCGCAATGACACCTATGAAGGTTTTCATTCCAAAACACCACACTGTATATCCACAAAAAAAATAAAAAACCTCACTCAAAACTTTAATTCTAAATCAGGTTAGTGTAATATGATAGCTAAGGGGTTTAAAACAAATCCAGTATATACATTTTTGTGTGTGTAAGAAACTGTAGTTTAAAAATCAGGCGTAATATTTAATAGAGATCTTATTCTGGAACAAAACTCTTCACAACCCGTATGAGAACGTCAAAATAAAAGACAAAAAACAAGAACCGCAAAGACTTTCAGAGTAAAACTGACATGAATGAGGGGGCAGTGCTCATTTCAGAACAAAGTCTCACTGATGTCCTGCTCCAGCCATTATGTGGACAGTTTATACACGTGAAAAGAGCCTCAAACTCAGTAGTAGTTGTAAGGTGGATGCGGTTTGGTTTAGTATGCTAGGCAGAGAAGGAAGGAAAAAAAAAAAAAAAAAAAAAAAAAGAGAGAGAGACCTCGCCTGCTTGTTTCAAGACCGCTCCAGGATTACAAGCCTCAGTGAACCACAACAACTCCTTTCCTTTCAAACGTCGCCGCTCTGGGTGCGCGAGTTCGGAGAGCGATGACTTTCGGACGAAGACACGAGGGTCAGACAATGACTCCATTGACTCAGTTTGACACCCCACCCCTGCCTCCTCAACCCAACACCAGTTAACATGAAGAAAAAAAAAAATCTTGCTTATTATTAACTGGGATGTCAGTGAGCTCTCAGTGAGTGGAATTTGAGCCATGCATTGATTATTCAAAAGCAACGCCTCCACAGAATCCACTCCAGGGTCTAGTGGATTGCTTGTACGCACGCACGCACGCACGCACGCACGCACAGGCTATGTCTATATGTTATGCAGATTCTTCACTTCTTGTGGGATATTTACTGATAGCTTTCTTGCACAGTGAAAAGCCACTAAAATCTCTAAAGCTTACTGCGCTTGGCAGGTGCACACAGAGTTGTCTGACATGTACACAGTGTGTTCTTTTTATGACTTCAAAGTCAGTAGTTCTCCATATTTCTCAGAAAAACTAAAATCCCTGAACAGTTAACCACTTATTCCCATTTTTTTAGACATTTCTGCAGCTTAAAAATGTCTCCTCATACCTCAATAGCTGATGACTCGTACCACAAAGTAGCTACAGCCACGGTCACCAACAACCACATACATCAGTGCGGCACAATG